AATAAACTTCAACGTAAAAAGCACTTCTAGGTATAAAGAGGTTCACAATGTATTCCTAAAAGGTTCAAGAGTCAGGAAACTGATACCAACTCCAGTAGAAAGCAAAAATTTTCAAAACTGAGAGGAGAAATTGACAAATTTACCATCATCAGGAGGGATACTTCTCCCAGTAATTGAAAAAGCAGACAAAAAAATCATAAGAATTTAGTTGGTAAGAACCATATGATTAATGAGATTGTTCTAAAGGACTTATGTAAAATGTTAATCCAATACCTAGAAAATTATTTTCAAACACACATGTAGTACTTATGAAAACTGACTATATTTGAGGCCATTCAGCAAATCTTAAAGCAGCATACAGATCACATTCTCTCACTCAACATAATTAAGTTAGAATTTGTTTTAAAAATGTCTCTTACCAGCTTTGATATACACTTCTAGAACATTTATTTATTTTATTTTTAGACAGCTGGCTGGTATAAGGATTTGAACCTGTGACCTTGGTATTATATACACTTCTGATGAGAATAAAAGAGCTAATTTGGTTGTCACTTATCCACTAAGTTGACAATTTATTCTAGGTATTCACTTTTCTTTACCTTAATAAACTTAAATACTCGTATATGGTACACGTTTTTCTAATTGAATCTCTTTTTTGGAACAGATCAGACATAACTCTTAATGTTCCATTTAAAACCATTTTGACCTCAAAAAAATTTTCATTTTTACTGTATATGTATGTATCACAGAGCACTTTTTTTCAAAAAAAAAAAAGTCTTTTATTATTAGCAGTATGTAGTTGGATATTATTTTTTAGCCCAATATGACAATCTTTGTCTTTAATTAATCAACTTTAACCTATTGATGTTAATTATCACAACAGATATGACCATGGATCTGAGGCAGCTAGAGTGCTTATTTCAAAACAAAGTTTAGTTTCTGTTTGAAGAACAGGTGATTTTCTATAGCATTTGATTGTAAGTGTTTAACGTGAGAGCCTTCTGTATCTTGGTGCTCTATTAACAGTAGATGATAGTGCTGCTGCTACTGCTGGGGCTGCTTAGTTTCTGTTTGAAGAACAGGTGATTTTCTATAGCATTTGATTGTAAGTGTTTAACGTGAAAGCCTTCTGTATCTTGGTGCTCTATTAACAGTAGATGATAGTGCTGCTGCTACTGCTGGGGCTGCTGCTGTTATTATCAACTTTCAGTGTCCTGACCCCCACCCAAAATTTTAGACTCAAAACTGCTGTACCCACTTCATGTTCATTAGGATGGCTATTATCAAAACTAAAAACAAACAAAAAAAACCTAGAAAGTAAGTGCTGGTGAGGATGTAGAAGAATTGGAACTATTGTGCAATGCTGGTAGGAATGTAAAATGGTGCAACTACTGTGGAAAATAATATGGCAATTCCTCAAAAAATTAAAGATAGAGTTACCAAATGATCTAGCAATTCTGCTTTTGAGTATATACCCAAAAGAAGTGAAAGCTGGGACTTGAACTGACATTGTACACCCATGTTCATAACAGAATTATTCACAATAGCCAAAAGGTGGAAGCAACCATGTATCTATCGAAGGGCGAATGGCTAAACAAATTATGACATATACATACAGTGGAATATTATTCAGCCCTGAAAAGGAAGAAAATTCTGATGTACACTAAAACATGGATGGACTTTAGGACATTATGCTGAGTGAAATAAGCCAGTCACAAAAGGACAAATACTGTGTGATTCCACTTACATGAAATACCTTGAGTAGTCAAGTTCAGAGATGGAAATAGAATGGTGGTTGCCAGGCACTGGGGGAAGGGGAAAATAGGGAGTTATTATTTAATGGGTATGAAACTTCAGTTTGGGAAGGTGAAAAAGTTCTGGAGACGAATAGCAGTGACTGTTGTGGAACAATGAGAATGTACTTACTGTCACTGAACTATAGACTTAAAATAAGTTAAAATAGCAAGTTTTATGTTACGTATATTTTGCCACAATAAGAAAAGTCTGCTCTTCCTGTGTGTAGGAATAGTCTGCCACTGTTCCTGGGGCGCTGATATAATAATCAATGCTTTCAGAGAAGTCAGCTCTGTTATCCCTTTCTAAAGCTGCTTTTTCCACAATGTAGAGGTCAAAACAAGAATATTACCTAGGAATACCTTACGTTTGTATAGCACTTTATATTTGAAGAAAGGCTTTTATGTGGCTTAACCCATTTGATCCTCATGACATCCTTATAAGGTAAGTAGTATTACCCCCTTTTAATTGATGGAAGAAAGTAAAGCCTGAGAGATAAAGTTGTTCAAGACCACAGGGCTATTAAGGATGCAGGGATTCAAATACTTAATCTTCTGATTCTTCAGCCTTTATCTCCCAAAGTACAGGAATAATTGTCAACCTGTTAAGAACTTTACATTTAAAATGCCAAAAGCAAAGTGCTATTATTGTTAAACTGAATCAAGAAAAGAAAAAGAAAAATAGTATCATTAGCTTCTCAGTGACCAATAATGATTATACTAAATTTATGCTCTGAATCCTATTAACATATTTGTGGCTTTTTATAATGCTCTATTTCCAAACCTTGGTCACGTTTAAACTCTGGCTGGCTCTTTATATTGTTGGATTTTAGCTTCTAACCATACCATTTAATTTTGGGGTTGGGAGTGTTTCCCCTAAAACTCATTGTTTTAGATTGTAGCTATACAAATTTTTAACTAAATTCTCAAAAAACTTGTCCAATTCCAATAAAAACAAGTAGCCAGGTTGTTCTCTCATTGTTATGCAAGAACTATTTCACTTTGGGTCTTAAATTTCATTTTTTATTGCTCTCCTCGGAGTGAACAGCTAATGTAAACAGGAGAAACCTGGCATCACACCATCACTGGTCTTAGTGACTTTACGAGTTTCTCCTAGAACAAATGGCCAGGTCAGTGCACCCTCCCAATTCTCAGCACACAGCAGCATTCATTTTCCTTTGAAGCCTGCCATAGATAAGTCAACTCAGAGCTCCAGCTCTCCTGCTACAGAATGCTGACCCAGTTGCTTTCTCTGTCTCTGGGAAGATTTGGTGCCACATGGAGGAGGGATGGCATGGGCACTCCCTCATTTTGAATAAGCCTTCTTTAATTTATTAACTCATAACATAAATAACACTCCCTGAGGCAATATGCAATAGGTTTCTCACTGTGATGGTACTCAGTGAAAGAACCTGAGATTTTGCACCCCCGTGTCCTACCCTTAGTGTGATACCTTGAAGTGTTCATTGACAGGTTAAATATTGAAAGTTCAAAGAGACGGCCACTCTCTTTCCTCTTCCAAGTTGTTCATGCTGCTGTGAGGTGGCAACAGTGGACAATCTGGCTTACCATTGCATTTAGTCTGCAGATTCTGAATTCAGATTCCCTCACCTCATACATGGAAAATTGTTTGGAAGCATTCACCACACTTTAAATGGCTTAAGCATATTGGGACTCTGTTCCCTTGTGTTTTGTGGGCAAATTCATTTGCCACAGTTCTCTGTGACAAGTGAAATGGAGAGATATAGTATTTTTACAAAAAACAACTCGCATCTATAATTTGGGCAACACCTGGAGAACTTTTCCCCTGTATCTGGCTCATTGCTTCCATTCCTGTAGCTTACATTTCTTAAGCACTTACTCTGTGCCAGAAACCGTGCTGACCATTTCAGATGCACTGTGTTATTTAATACACACCATAGACCTGTGTGGTAGATACTAATTTATTCTCATTTTATAAAAAACAAACTAAAACTGAAACATAAAGAAGGTAAGTGGGCACATAGCAAGTAATTGGTTTATGTCATTCAACCCTTTTTTTCCTGTGTACAATTGTACCAGTCTAGCTCAAATAAGTCATAATATTACCTTTTGCAGTCCCAAATTAAAGAATATTCAGAAGCAGGCTTGCCAACTCCTGTCAGGTAAGTGGGCACATAGCAAGTAATTGGTTTATGTCATTCAACCCTTTTTTTCCTGTGTACAGTTGTACCAGTCTAGCTCAAATAAGTCATAATATTACCTTTTGCAGTCCCAAATTAGAGAATATTCAGAAGCAGGCTTGCCAACTCCTGTCCGTGTCTTACCCATTGTAATACTCTTCTTTTAGCAGGGGGTAGCACCAAGTTTCATATTATATTTCATGCATTTCAGATCTGTTATTGTTTCCCCTTCAACTTTCTCTTCTGATGATTTAAACAAATAATAGCAAACTCTCGTTAACATTCCCTCCAAGATTTTATTTTCCATCGCCTCAGTTGCTTAAGTCTACTTCAATTTCAAGCTTTATTCTATTGCCCGATATTCTACTAAAGAGTGAAAGATATAAAGCAGATACTCATTATTTGTAATTACGGAAATATAGCAAAAACAAAAAAAAATTCAATATCAAACAAAAATGGAAAGTAGCTTCATGTTATGAATGAGAGAGACTTTTGTCTTTAATGCTGATTAAAAGATAAAGAAGAATGTTATGAGTTCAAGCCTGTTTTTAGAGAGAAGCTTGATTTCTTTTTGAAAGTGCTAAAAAGATGTTTTGTTCTGGTATTTGTCTAATGTCAGCAAAATATTTTCAACCCATTAGACATAAGATGAATGGATGAATATTTACTGAGCATCTACTTTTTCTCAGAATTTAAGAATAATATAGACTGTTTCACAACTTAGTGAATGAGAGATGAATATACCAATACATTTAATTATAGCCAAAGCAGTACATATAGTGTTCTTTTTACTCTTTCTTCCATTCTTTAGAAAGACCTGACGATTTGTCCCCTAAAGCACATCTTGAATCTGTCTTCCTCTTCAGAGAAGCTTGATTTTGAGTTTCAGCAATAACCTAATTTATGCTTCTAAGATTAGAATCTATTTTTCCTCCATCTGTTGCCTAATAATTATGATCAGTTCTTAAATCTGGATTGAAATGCTGGAAGATGCTTCTAATTTCCCCAATTTAAGATGTATCTTCACGTTCCTCTTACACTACAGAGTCATCAGAAATCGGGCCTTCCCTCGTGATTCACACTACTGTCCCATTTGGAGTTACACACTTGGAACACAGCAGTGAGGATGTGCAAGAATTAATCTTCCAACAGCTGGAAAACATTTTGCCAGGTTTGCCTCAGCCAGTTGCTATGATATGCCAGAAATGGAGATATTCACAGGTAATCAAAGAATCCAGTCGTATGAGCACAGCATTTTCTTAGTAGGCTGACAGAATTGACTTTACTTCTTCATCTTTTGTCACTCTCTAGTTTACAAAATTAAGGTGATCTTTGGAACAAATTTATGGTTCCCTAACACACAAGCGTAACTTTTACAGGGTTTTATTGTCTGCTATTTCTCAACAAGAGGTGCATACAATTTTTACCAATGTTATGTTCAAATTCTGGCATCTTAAGAATTATACACCCTGAAATTCTGGAGTTTCCTATGCAGGCAAAGCAGGTTGTACATCAAAATGCAGCTGTTTCTTTGGGGTTTTCCTAAATCATTACTGTGGTTATATAGAAACCACTATAACCTCCACAATTTTTGCAATATATGAAATTAACCTTGCAAGTGTACTTTGCTACCACAACTTTTATTTTTATTAAGTTCCCACTTTGGTTTTAATAGCTACTAGCAGAGCTCTTAGGGGGAGAAAGATGAATACCTGCATAGAACAGCTAGTTGAGCTGTTTTTCAGGGTTGGATATGCCTGCTGATCATTCTACTAGTTCAGACTTAAGCTCTTTATACTAGGTAAATGTTGACTTTTTTGAAAATCTCTGCACATTCCAACGGAAGTTTGTGAGTATTCGTAGAAAAAGCCTTTTGATCTGTAAATTCAGTTATAAAGTCATTTAGGGGACAATGGAGCAAAGGGTACATAGAGAAAAGAAGCAGTGAGCAATTCATTTTTTTCCTGAGATTTCTAAGCCCATTGATTAACTGATTTATTAGCACTATTGATTATCCAAGCTGTGAAGCTTTTAGAAAAAGTGATATTGTGGGAAACTGCAGCAGATTTTGTATATTTTAAAGAGCTTTCCAAAATCAGAGGAAATGGTAAATTACTTCCTAAAATATTACAGCAGATCTTTGTGTTTAACCGTCTCATCTGAAGTTAAATTATACAGTGAACCTTTGGGGAAAATATTTACTTAAACATGTCATGGTCACTTTAGAAGGCTTTGCTTTTTCCTCTTAAAAAGCTTTGAAAAATCTCAATGGCTAATATCTTTAGGTTGGCTTGAAAAAGAAAACAGGGAAATAATATTGTTGATATAATTTAAAACTAGATATGTTACACATCAAGTCACTTTGCAATTTATAAATATTCCTGTAAAAGTCTGTGATGTTTCCTCTTGTGCCTTTCTCATAAACAATTTATTAATAATTGAGAAAGTGGGTTTAAAACCTACTTATTTCTTAAAATTTGATGTGTTAATAAGAAGAGATTAGTTCTAACTACAAAATGACTAATTCAAAGTTGTGCAATATCACAAAATTTAATAAAAAAAATCTTTGAACACAATGTACATCCAAACCCTAGCAATTTTTATTCAACAATTTGGATGTCGAAATTATTCCACAACACTTGCAACTCTGTAGTAATGAAATCTACATTGGCTGCAAAGCCTGAAAGGGGAGAAATTATCATTCACACTTAGAAGTTTGCATTTTCCACTATTCATACACTTCTCATAGTGCCTTAAGCATTATTCTACAGAGCATAACATTGTCATTCATGGCAGAGATCTGACCTACATTGTGTTTTACATATATATGAACATCACCTTTTGAAAGGGAATAATTGATGAAAGGTTCAGAAATTTAATATCATTTAGCTAATTTGTTTTCAGCTACTTTTCCCTTAGAACATTTCTCCAATGCTTTTAAAAGATCTATTTTAACCTTTGGAATTTGACATAAATGTATGCACCCCTTTTCCCTTGCCATCCCAGTACACACAGTCCACCTTCACTGAATTCATGTATGTGTATGAATGTGGTCTAATACAGGGCTAAACTGAAAGGAAGGATAATGTAGACCCCAGGACAAAAAAGAAAGAGGAATACCAACTGATTTTTAAGTTTCCCTCATTTTTTTTTTTTTTTGTCTTTTTGTCTTTTTCCGTGTCTGGCAACGGATCACAACCCTCAGTGTTGCCCCCGTACCGGACCGGGGACCGGCAACGGAATTGCAACCCTCGGTGTTGCTCCCGCGCCTCGCTCAGCCAGTGAGCGGGAACCGGTCTGCATGTGGGATCCGAACCCTTGGGCGGGAGCGCCGCCGCGCTTCCCAAGCGGCGCACTATCCAGTGCGCCACCGGGCCGGCCCACGTTTCCCTCATTTTTGAGTGAAGGTACATGGAGGGACATCCCACCCTATGTTCTTTTTCTTTTCCTCCTTTCCCTGTACTGCTCCATCCAATCCTTCTATTCTCCTCGCTCTACCCCCTTCCTTTTCTTCTCTTTCTCTGAAAAACAAATAATAGAGTCCCACACACCCTCATTTTATGAAAGTCTCCATAGACCACAGAGCTGGTGCCCCTTATCCCAGGCAGTGGTGGGTGGTATGAATTCCCCATCCTAGTCCCCTCAGGCTTGACTCTTTCTTTTCATTCCTTTTATTTTTTTCTCCTTTTTCTCTTCTTCTGTCATCCTTACACTGCATCCTGGCATCCAGTGACTCTGGAGGGTGAGAAAGAAGTAGAGAACGCAAGGGGGAGAGTGATTATGAGCACATCCAATGTTCTTGGCCTGGAACTGGACAATTCAAAGATGTGATCTCATTTAATATCAAAAGTGACCTTATAGGACAATGAGATACTATTACACACCTAGAATGGCCAAAAGCCAGACTCTGACAACACCAAATGCTGCCAAGGATGTGGAGCAAGAAGAACTCTCATTCATTGCTGGTGGGAATGCAAAATGGCCCAGCTACTCTGGAAGACAGCTTGGCAGTTTCTTACAAAACTATGCATATGCTTACTACACTATTCAGCAGTCCTGCTCCTTGTTATTTACCCAAAGGATCTGAAAGCTTATGTCCACAAAAAAACCTGCACATAGATGTTTATAGTAGCTTTATTCGTAGAAGCAACCAAAATACCCTTCAGTAGGCACATGGGCAAATAAACTGTGAAACATACAGAAGACAATGGAATATTATTCAGCACTAAAAGAAATGAGTTCTCAAGCCATAAAAAGATATGGAGGAAATTTAAGTGCATATTACTAGTACTCTGCTCATCAAACCCTAGATAATAATATTTGCTGAAGACCTCCTCCTAATACTCTAAATAGGATTTCATCTTGAGTAAGATAATGGTGCATACTTCTAGGTGCTGCTCCTAAATGAGGATAGAAGCAGATGAAGAAAGAGGTGTGTTTGAAAGACATCGGAGCTGCTTCTGTGCCTCCCATTTTGGGTTTGAAGAAAGCACTTGAGTAGGTGGTTCACACAAACTTGGCAAAGCCGTGGCAGATTTCTTGTGGATCTCAAGTCCTCCCTTTTGCAGCTATTTGCCCTCCATAATTTAAATGTTTAGCCAGTTAATAGAACTTGAATCTGAGTCTGTGATACACTGAACTAAAGTTTCTGTGACACATGTGATTTATTAACCCTTTCAGCAGAAGAATAATAACTGAGAATGCCTTTCCAAGTAACTTGACAGGGGACATTCATTCAGTTTGACAACCCTGATACTCTCACTTTTTCTATTTGCTGGGCCTTCCTCTGTTTTGGTGTCTATCATGATGCCTTTCTCAAACTATAGTAAATTTCTAATTTGCTCTCAGATTTGACTATAATTTTCCCCATCTTTCTTCAGTTCTAGAAAATCTTAGTGGCCCTTTTCCCTACCTTAGCACACTCATGGATTACTTTATTTTTCAAAGAACACCAAATGTATTTTCAAATGCCAAGGAAGTCAGGAGAAGCATTTAAGGGGAGGGAGAGATGGTGAATGAATACATTGGTATCTTTAGCAAAATAAATTGATTTGGACTAGCCTATTAAGCTTGTGAAGTATAACTAGAAATCAGTTATCTTCTGTGGTTATATTTCTTCACTTAGTCTTTTTGCCCTGAGACTGTGCCTTCTTTCTCCCCTTTTATTATTTTTTTAAAAGAAGGATCATGAACTCTTACAGGATTTGAAAGCTGTGAACATGAAAATTGTCTTCATTAAAGAAATACATATACATATGTATTTTTCCTTTCTTAACTTTCTTCACCCTTCTGTTCACATTCTTCGCTTTCAGCTCTATCCTTTTTTTTTCTCTTAGACAAGGAAATCTTTGCACTTTTCAATACAAAGTCCCAATTTTTGCCTCTTCAGGTTTTTCCTAACTGATTACCTCAGTTGGCATAGTACCTAATTCCCAGAAGTAAAGAGGACTAAAAGAGAATAAAGGAAATGTGCAATAGCTTACCGCAAGAATCTTCCTTACAGACTTGCATTTGGTGGGGAAGGGAGTGTGCACACAGCAGAGCTTGAGACCACCCATACACTTACTTTATTGTCTCATAAGATTATTAATTTCTGGTGGGTAATTGTATCTAATTTCATCACTGAAAGGTCAGGTGGTAATTGATAATTTGTTTTTTTCTTCTCTTTCTTATGCATTTTCTGTTGTTATCCTCATTTTCTTCTTTTAAATAAGTTGGAACTAGAAGGCAGTGACTGGTTTCATAAATACACCAAATTTGTAAATCCAAAGGGTTGTTGTCTCCTCAAAGTAGTAAGTCACCTCAACAAGATACACCCTTATTTCAACAAGGTTGGGCATATCTTTCCGAGCCTGACACATATTCTTCATCATATCATCAGCTGGATCAGGTTTTTTAAATTTTAAGTAAAATTTGATGTTTTAGGAGCTGGCCATTTAGCTCAGCTGGTTAGAGCATGGTGCTGATAACACCAAGGTCCAGTGTTCAATCCCTGTACCAGCCAGCCTCCAAAGGAAAAAAAAAAAAAAAAAGATGTTTTAGAAACAACCAAAGTCATTTGGACTTAAATCTTTTTATAAAATGGATGATTAATCTTAACCCTTTTTTTAGATGTAACTAAAGAACTATGGCTGGTTTATATTTGTTTATCTGGTTTAATGTGTCCTGTTAGCTGATTCTAAAGGCAGTCTTCAATTTGGTACACCTAAAAGACATTGGCC